TGGCTGGAATTAACAATAGGCACAAACAATACCAAAAACACTGATCCTTCTTCATGTTTTTAAATGTAACCAAGTAGATTTTTTCATTCTTATTAACTTTGTTTTAACTTGAAAGTATTTAAAAAACATATTGTGAGGCAGCCATTATAGGGAAAAACCACTTTGTTAAGGAAAGTACTGTTACGAGGCTAAGTCCTGCCAAGAGATTAGTGGCTGCTTTCTCTGAAATAAGCACAGTGATATGGTGGTCCACTATATTAATGCAAGTACACATGTGCCTGTCATAGAACGCCTAATTGATAATAGTTACTTCTTTTATGTTAATTTTTTTGGTTTAAGTATTTTTTTTTGCCGTGTACGCTATTGCGTAACTTTTATTGTTGCAGTTGGTACTTTATTGTTCGTTATATAACTAATTGGGTAAAATATTCATTGTAAGCCGTTCTATTAGTTGTAAGCCGTTAATCACTAGATCGGACCTTTTACAACAGTCCCTTTTTTGCCACACCTTGCATTTTGCATGGGATTTGGAAGTTTTAGATATTAAGAAGGAGCCGCGTCGCTAAAACGTCAGTGCGAAGGGCGCGTTCAGACAGACTGTAAGAGAGAGACCTTGAAGCACAAACCGTTCTACCGAAATCCCTTCAGCAGAGGCGTCCCTTTTAACTTCACGGCAAAAGAAGTCATTTTGTCGGGGGAAAGCAGTTTGATGTGCTGTAAAAGTTGAGAGAGGAGGAGAAGTATTGTGGAGACTGTAACATCTCTCCAAGAAGTCAGTGCGTTACATAACATCTCTCCAAGAACGTACGGTTGCGGAAAACCAAACTGAACCAGGCTAGAGAGCAGCGGCAGACCGGAAGACCGAAGCCGGAGCAAGTCTGTGACAGATATAAGAGAAAGGCGGCTACTGGAGTTTGGAGGTTTGGGGATCAAGTAAAAGTGGTGTTGTGTTCGGAAGGAGTCGCGGCTGGCTGGACTAAAGGAAAGACGAGGAACTCTGTTTTATATGTAAGGTGAACTAAAAAGGGAACTATTACTGCGTGTTCGAAAAAGATAATTTGAAAATATGTTGTAGACTAAGTAGTTCAAAAATCGCTGTGTATTTTGTGTAAAAAAAGTAATATCGCATTAGTCTTTAGAATTTAGAATAATTATCAAAAGTAATATCGCATTATTCTTCAGAAATTAGAATAATTATCCCGTTTTAATTGTTTAGTGAAACGAGAATAATTATAGAAACGCCTAGTTAATCTTAAAATCGTGGAGTTGTGGGAGTATTGTTTTAATAAACGTTTAGAGCATTATTTTTTTTATTATACGTGTTTTCTTGAGTTTGTCTATGCTCGGTGTTATCGTTGGAGAGGACTCAATTTTGTGGCGGTTTTCGTAACAGTGCCCCTTCTCATCAGTTTCTTACATACATCATTTTCGATTAGGGTTGATTTATTTGAAGAATACTACCGCATGTTGTCATCGTATTTGTTTGTTTGTTTGTCTTTTTTTTAATCGTTTTTAACCTTAAATACAATGAAGATTCATCGGGCAAATGTGACGGCTATATACATATCTTGGAAATAAATCCACTCTTAGTTTTATAAAGTAATTCACGGCATTACCGTACTGCAATGGAACCCCGCTCTACGGACACCCGCTTAATACGGACACCCACTTAATACGGACAGTTTCGCTTGTCCCGACAAAAAGCTCATATATTTTCTCTAAAATTAACCCGCTTTATACGGACACCGGTTAATATGGACAACGGACACTTTCCTGTGTCCCGATCAAACTCTCATATATTGTCAACCCCGCTTTACGGACACTGGTTATCTGCACACTGACTATTTTCATTGACACAATTATGTGATAATTGTAGACATTGTATCCTGTTCAAATAATGGCAGATTTTTACGGGTGAATAAAATTTTATTTTTACAGTACTAAGAAAACAGTAACAAAGTAGCGTGACATATTTGATTTTGAACAGTCTGTCTTTCTTCCGGTGTTTGACCGTTGTACTACGTATAGTCCTTTAATAAAGTTTTCTGCCACCTGTTACACACGTTTCACTTCCTTGGCTTTTTGTTGCAGCCATTGCTCTTAACCTTCTTCCTCTTTGACGTTGTTTGCTTGCTGCGCGCTGTACCAGGATCATCCTCCGCTCGTTTTGCTGGGTTGTTCAGCTAACGTCTAGTAATGGTTCAAGTAAATCTACGTGTTTCCGAGGACATAAAAAATGTACACACAACTTCCATACCAAGACCTCCACCCCGATTGACTGCCTCTCCAAATACTTCTGCCGATCCTTGGTTGGTAGACTTTGAAATAAAATGAGTGACTATACCAGTGCGGTTTTTGGTGTTCGCAAGGTGAAATGGAATGTGGCCTATAACTGTTACAGTTAAGAAATTAAACAACTTTTGTCTCGTAAAACTGTCTGCTTTGGTCTTTATATCGATAAAACATGTGTTCCTGACGTTTTCTCTGAGAGTCCGCTTAATACAGACACCCGGAATAGTAATACGGACACTATGGCATATGTCCCCTTGGTGTCCGTATTAACCGGGTTCCACTGTATACATTTTACATATTGTAAAAACAACCTGTCACCTCTAGGCAATTTTGAAAATTATGACAAACTGCCTTCATGAGCTTGCATTTAAATTTGTAAAAAATAACACGACCAACCAACCAGCTCTGAAACTTTAAACTCAAACACAGGCTACACGTAGTCACGAGTCTGAATTCATATCAAATCAAACAAGGTAGTAATTTAGGACATTAAATTTGCACTCTGTTATTAGGCAGTGTAAATAAATCTTCAGTAACAATGGATAATTAACAAAACATTCATTGGGTTCTGATTTAAGAAAAGGTCAAATGAAATGTAAGGCTTTCCTATTGTTCAAGACCATTAACAAAGTCTTCTCTAAATACACCTAATTCCAAAATGGCGGTCGCGCGGTATGATCTGGGGAGAGCCACGCGGAAACGAGGCATCGAGGGTCAAGTCAAACATAAAAATTATGGCGTCCTTCGCGTATGGTCCATCGTATTTATCAGAAGAAGACATTCCTGGCGGTTCTTTGAACGGCCGGGATCCGAATCGGTTGAAAAATAGCGAGCTTCAATTTTGGTTAAAGTGCCGTGGTGATTCTTGTAAAGGTTTAATCACCAAAGCACAACTTTGCAAGCGGTAAGTGATATTTGTTTTGCGTCGCAATTTGTCGTTGCTAAGGGACCTTAAAGGTAAGCGCCTAATTCGCTCTGTTCTTTCACGGCGTGAATGAGTATTTGAATGCCAAAACCAATCATCTTCTGGTCGACCCGGACGTGACAAGTGACAAGTTTGTAAATGATCTTTTAGCACAAAAGGAACTCACATCAGCTGCTGTGGAACATGGCTGAAAATATGAGCCAGCTGCTTTAAAAGAGTATGAAAAATACGTGCGAAAAATAGGAAAGCCTGTGAAAGTAGTCAAGAGTGGTCTCTTTGTTTCACCTAAGATCCCAATTTTAGGTTGCTCACCAGATGCAAAAGTGGTTGACCTAAGCTGCAAAGACAACTTCGGAATTGGAGAAGTGAAAAGTCCCTCCTCAAAGTTTAGTGTCTCCCCCCTTGATGCCTGTGAGGATCCTGGCTTCTTTTTGGAAAATAAGGATGGTACGCCCACATTAAAGAAAGGACATGTGTATTATGATTAAGTGCAAGGTCTTATTGGGATTAACAGGTGCACAGTGGTGTAACTTTATTGTTTATACAAGCGAAGAGTTAAGCGTTGAGAAGATCAAGTTTGATCAAGAACATTGGAATCGACTCTGTGACAGACTCTGTTGCTATTACTTTAAACATTTTCATCCGGTGGCTGCAGTTTAATAATGTTCCACGTATTTTATTCTTTTAGTGTTGTTGGCAAATAGTGTAACTTAGTGATACTCTAAGCTGAGCCCTACATTTTTTAAAAGTCGGTCAACTTTAAGCGAGAATAGAGTAAACCATAGTTTCTTGCAGTTAAAAAAGGAGATCATAAAATATTGTTATGGGATTTTGTAGTTATAAACCCAGGGCAGTCACTAAGCTTTCAAGTTTATATTAAGTAGGCTAGAGCTTCAAAAGGGAGCACAGTTGTATAAACGACAGCCGGTTATAGACAGATTCACTTAGCTCGGTCCACTTGAGAAATTAGGAGGGTAAGTCCGTCAGTGCACATCCTATTTAATTTTTTTCTTTTTTTTCCTCTCAATGTAGCTGGGGTTCGTGCTCATAGTAACAAGGGGAAATCCCCAGCCTCTTGCCCTAGGTGACAGCCCTAGAAAGAAAAAAGTGGAAATAACAGCCTAAAAGAGTTTAAAATAATGTCAGATAATCTATTTTTTAGGGCTATTTTCCCTTTTTTCTTTCTTTTGACAGCCAGTCCTTTCTTGGCAATGTTGAGTATAGTGCAGAGAAAACATTATTTCAGGATTGGAAAAAATAGAGTATTGCACTATTTACTGTTCATTGATTGATAAAAGAAACTGTTATTATTATTATTATTATTATTATTATTATTATTATTATTATTATTATTATTAATATTATTATTATTATTATTATTATTCCCAAGAAAATAACAGCAAAGAAAAGAATAACACCCTACTAAAATAGAAACAAGTAAATACTAGGTTAAACCGGGTAAGGTTTAATAATATTATTGTTCCATTGAAAATAATTCATAAATTTCCAATCACCCTCTAAATATGAGAGCAAACAATATACAATAAGTTGGTTGATATGAGAAAAAAATCATTAGTTGTATCTATGTGCTTATGATGCAATTTTGAAAATTGCACAAAAAAGCACACACACACCACATTTGATTGACAACACTGAACAGAGTAAATGGTACTACACTGTCCCATATGTGGAAGTTCTTTATCTTATTGATTGCACGTTCCATATGAATTCGAAGGGAGGCAATTTGATGTGTTTGCACAACTTCCTCTGGTGTAATTTGACCTTTGCTTCCAAGGAAAGGAGGGATGTTAAGGCAGACACCAAGGGGAAGAAGATCCTGCACAGTAAACCCTTTATCTGCCATTACGGAGTCTCCTCTTGCAAAAGGTAAAGTTAGAAATCCTGAAGGCATAACAATTTCTCTATTTGAAATATGGCCTGTGTATAGTTGACTGATGAATGTTATGGCACCCCCAGGTGAGATGCCAACCAGAACCTTCAGAGTAGTGTGATTTTTGTATGAGCTAAAAAGCTCACTGTTAAAAAGAAGACTCTTGGGAATTTGGCAGCGGATTTCAGTACAGTCAGTTATGACCCTGGGAGAAGGGTATTTCTCCTTAAAGTCAGCAGGCATGTGCTCTTCAACTTTTTCCTTATAGAGGGCCATATAAGAATGGTGCTGAACTTTAGAAACAAAAAAATAATCCAAGAAATTACAATTCGACTGACAGTTGCTTGAGAAATACCATACAAATGACTCAAATGCTCCTCTTTAAAGCCCTGTATTAGACGGCACAGAGTTAAAAAAAGTTCCTCCCTTGGGCTCAGTTGCCTTGGCCCTCCTTGTTTAGGGGCATCCTTGTCACCTTCCTGATTCACATTTTTCGTATCATCTGTGGATGAATGCCAATAGTTTATGTTCACAACTCCTTTCCCAGGATTTAAGTACCGAAGAATACTTTCCAAAACGCTAGCATTGGGAAATCCGGTATAGAACGACAAATCTTTGTCTGACGTGATAAATCTGTCTATGCTAAATACCTTTGCTTGCAACGAATTGTTCTTAGCAGATAGCCGTTCTATTTCCATCGTGAGTTGTTTGATTTTTCCTTCTAGCTTAGCCTTTTCAGATTCCAAATTACGAAGCTTTTCTTCGCGGTCGTCCAGCAGCTCTTCAGCAGAAGAATTGTCGAAATTCTCAAGATCGGGAGACTCCTGATTTTCCAGGGGATCTACAGGAGTAATTGACACACACGTGGAATTGCTGCTGTCGCTTATCGTTGTCGTTTCGGAAGTTTTCTTCGGGCTTTTTTCCTTGATCGAACTTCTATGCTTTGGCGGTCTTCTTTTTGCCGGCGAACCTTTCGTCCAAGGAAATACGGATGGGACAGCAGATTTTAATGTTTTCTTGCGACCTGTAAGCAAACGGATGTAATCTGCTGGCTTAAAGTGGCGAGAGCAAACTCGCTAGTTTTGTGTCGCTTGAAAATTTACCCTATATCTCTTCGTATTGCAACAATCCATTGCCTGAACACACCTTCGTCGTCTGGAAACTTAATATGAAAAGAGATTTTCACGCCATTTTCCTCATACACTTTCTTAGTACAGTATGTAACAGCGCAATTTTGAGGCATGATCGCACACGATTACCATATGTAAACGCAGAATGATCCTGCCGCCGGCCCCCGATGCCTAGTTTCCACGCCGCTCTCCCCAGATCGATCCGAGCGACCGCCATTTTGGAACCTCATAAAACTTGTACTTTAAAAGATTTTCTGACAGAAAGGAAAGCCGCTACTTGTGTTGTTTCACAGGTCCGTAGTCACTCGTTAGCGGCACAGAAGGAAAAAATCTCTTTGAAACACAATTAACTTTCAAGGGTTCTAATTGTTCCTCTGAAAATTGCACACTAACATTTTTTCCAAAGCACATAATTAAAACCAAACGGTCTCTGCAGAATAGTGGAAATAACAGCCTAAAAGAGTTTAAAATAATGTCAGATAATCTATTTTTTAGGGCTATTTTCCCTTTTTTCTTTCTTTTGACAGCCAGTCCTTTCTTGGCAATGTTGAGTATAGTGCAGAGAAAACATTATTTCAGGATTGGAAAAAATAGAGTATTGCACTATTTACTGTTCATTGATTGATAAAAGAAACTGTTATTATTATTATTATTATTATTATTATTATTATTATTATTATTATTATTATTAATATTATTATTATTATTATTATTATTCCCAAGAAAATAACAGCAAAGAAAAGAATAACACCCTACTAAAATAGAAACAAGTAAATACTAGGTTAAACCGGGTAAGGTTTAATAATATTATTGTTCCATTGAAAATAATTCATAAATTTCCAATCACCCTCTAAATATGAGAGCAAACAATATACAATAAGTTGGTTGATATGAGAAAAAAATCATTAGTTGTATCTATGTGCTTATGATGCAATTTTGAAAATTGCACAAAAAAGCACACACACACCACATTTGATTGACAACACTGAACAGAGTAAATGGTACTACACTGTCCCATATGTGGAAGTTCTTTATCTTATTGATTGCACGTTCCATATGAATTCGAAGGGAGGCAATTTGATGTGTTTGCACAACTTCCTCTGGTGTAATTTGACCTTTGCTTCCAAGGAAAGGAGGGATGTTAAGGCAGACACCAAGGGGAAGAAGATCCTGCACAGTAAACCCTTTATCTGCCATTACGGAGTCTCCTCTTGCAAAAGGTAAAGTTAGAAATCCTGAAGGCATAACAATTTCTCTATTTGAAATATGGCCTGTGTATAGTTGACTGATGAATGTTATGGCACCCCCAGGTGAGATGCCAACCAGAACCTTCAGAGTAGTGTGATTTTTGTATGAGCTAAAAAGCTCACTGTTAAAAAGAAGACTCTTGGGAATTTGGCAGCGGATTTCAGTACAGTCAGTTATGACCCTGGGAGAAGGGTATTTCTCCTTAAAGTCAGCAGGCATGTGCTCTTCAACTTTTTCCTTATAGAGGGCCATATAAGAATGGTGCTGAACTTTAGAAACAAAAAAATAATCCAAGAAATTACAATTCGACTGACAGTTGCTTGAGAAATACCATACAAATGACTCAAATGCTCCTCTTTAAAGCCCTGTATTAGACGGCACAGAGTTAAAAAAAGTTCCTCCCTTGGGCTCAGTTGCCTTGGCCCTCCTTGTTTAGGGGCATCCTTGTCACCTTCCTGATTCACATTTTTCGTATCATCTGTGGATGAATGCCAATAGTTTATGTTCACAACTCCTTTCCCAGGATTTAAGTACCGAAGAATACTTTCCAAAACGCTAGCATTGGGAAATCCGGTATAGAACGACAAATCTTTGTCTGACGTGATAAATCTGTCTATGCTAAATACCTTTGCTTGCAACGAATTGTTCTTAGCAGATAGCCGTTCTATTTCCATCGTGAGTTGTTTGATTTTTCCTTCTAGCTTAGCCTTTTCAGATTCCAAATTACGAAGCTTTTCTTCGCGGTCGTCCAGCAGCTCTTCAGCAGAAGAATTGTCGAAATTCTCAAGATCGGGAGACTCCTGATTTTCCAGGGGATCTACAGGAGTAATTGACACACACGTGGAATTGCTGCTGTCGCTTATCGTTGTCGTTTCGGAAGTTTTCTTCGGGCTTTTTTCCTTGATCGAACTTCTATGCTTTGGCGGTCTTCTTTTTGCCGGCGAACCTTTCGTCCAAGGAAATACGGATGGGACAGCAGATTTTAATGTTTTCTTGCGACCTGTAAGCAAACGGATGTAATCTGCTGGCTTAAAGTGGCGAGAGCAAACTCGCTAGTTTTGTGTCGCTTGAAAATTTACCCTATATCTCTTCGTATTGCAACAATCCATTGCCTGAACACACCTTCGTCGTCTGGAAACTTAATATGAAAAGAGATTTTCACGCCATTTTCCTCATACACTTTCTTAGTACAGTATGTAACAGCGCAATTTTGAGGCATGATCGCACACGATTACCATATGTAAACGCAGAATGATCCTGCCGCCGGCCCCCGATGCCTAGTTTCCACGCCGCTCTCCCCAGATCGATCCGAGCGACCGCCATTTTGGAACCTCATAAAACTTGTACTTTAAAAGATTTTCTGACAGAAAGGAAAGCCGCTACTTGTGTTGTTTCACAGGTCCGTAGTCACTCGTTAGCGGCACAGAAGGAAAAAATCTCTTTGAAACACAATTAACTTTCAAGGGTTCTAATTGTTCCTCTGAAAATTGCACACTAACATTTTTTCCAAAGCACATAATTAAAACCAAACGGTCTCTGCAGAATTATAATACAACATTTTCTCTTCCTTTTTTAGTGCAATATAAGATGGTTCCAGGCTATAAAATGACACGAAGGTCAGATAAAAATAACAACACAGGAATCTTCAAGTTCCAGGATGAATGATGAGAGGGATCTCAAGGGCTCAGAATTTTATCTTAAATCTTGGAATATGTTCCAGCTACATGTTTATGATTAAGCAGATTTTTCAGTATCTAATAAGCCAGCAGAAAATCGCAAAAACCTACACAAAAATGCAGTGGTGGGGTGACCAAAATGGTGATAGATTAGTGTTTGTTTACTAAAGCTCAGAGCCTAATGTATTTTTAATTGTTGCATAGTTCATTAACTTACCTCTTGAATCCTTACGACCTGAATTTATCGCTTAAAGTGAAAGCCATTGGAAAACCTTTCTCGAAATCATAACCAGCATTTCATGAACACTAGTACTATTCCGCAAATCGCAGAATATTTCAGCATGAAGTATATTCAATCAACCAAACTCGATGTATTTAAGTTAGCAATAGAAAAATTAGTCACACTTACCCCAATAACGGATCGACAGCAATTGCCCTTGGAAGACCCAAGTCTCTCCAAAAGAGAACTTTACGATTAGATCCATCTAAATTGGCGACCTCTATTCTATTTGTTTCCCATTCAGCATCTCTACAATCGGTCCAATACAGTTTTCCTGCAATCCAATCTACAGCGAGTCCTTGGGGTTTTCCCAAACCCACCGAAACAACATCCTCGATTATTCCTGTAGAGACGCGAATTCGCTTGATTTTTTCCAAGGTAACGTCGGTCCAAAATATAAATCCCTTTGTATAATGAAAGTCCACTGCGATGGCATTGTCCAAACCGTTAACAATGATAGTTTCATTTTGGTTCTTGCTAGTCGTCCAAACTGTTCTAATATCCGTTCGATTGACAAATAAAAGCCTTGGTGAATAAGCTGTGAGTCAGAAAAGAAAGAAACCTGTTAGCTTAAAAGAAGTATGAATTAACTGAAGATACCAAGTTCTGCATTGTTAATCGAATCGAAAGCAGAGGCAATCAATTTTGATTTTGCTTTTATGAATGCACGTCTAATAAAGTTATCTCCAAAATTTCACATATTCCAGACACAAAACTCAAAGGAAGAATACATCAGCAAAGTTTCTATAAACGGGCATCATTACCCTCTCCTAATTCATCGCCAATGTTCTCCGAGGATTTGCTAAATGTTCTGTAAATAAACAGATAACATAAGCCTACATCTTTTCCTAAAAGATGCACGTATGGAAAAAAAGATTATTCGCAAATCACGTACTCTGACACCAGGTTAACCCATCGCTCCACTGTGTTTATGTAGAAAGCCTGGAATTAAGTATATCTCAGATTTAAATATCCCGCAAATGGGATCAAACCAAAAGGTAAATTTGAAGTGTAAAATAGTGAACTCAACATTCAGAGCGTATTCATCGAAACTTTGCGTGGCCATTACGGGTATTCTGCGCACTCTTGTAACATACAACAACACACAACAATCTTTATTGTGGTCTTGATACAAAAGTGTAGAGTCATAAAAAGTAAATAATTGTGAAAAAAAAGAGAGCACAGCCACTTAGAAATAGCAAAAGCTAATCGCGCTGAGTGGCTGGGCCATGCTGGAAAGTAACTAGATATCAAAGTTCTTATTAAAAAACAAAAACACAAAAAGAAAAAATATTTAAGCTGTAATAAATAAACAAATACACAAATGAATAAACAAAGAAGCAAGACAAAGCAACGGCTGTGCACACAATTAGCTGCATATAAAGTACACCAATCAATATTTGGAGATGACAGATTCTTTTAAAACCTTTTTAAAGCGAAAACGATTCGCTGATTTTAGATCTTCTTTAATAGCATTCCAGAGTAAGCCCACTGAAACGGATATTAAATATTCCATAATTCGCCCTAGCTTTCGGTAAATAATAAGACTTCTTAGAGGCCAGTCTGGTTGCATATTGATATACTTTATTAATGCTTTTAAAGAAATTATTGAAAGCACGTGGAAGTCTATAATGCATAAAAAGAACACTGTCTAAATATATTAAATATTATATTAGCCCCAACTTGCGAAAGAGAGGACTAGAATAAGAGTTAAAATCAGAAAAGGTTATTATTCTAACTGCTTTTTTCTGTAAAGTGATAAGAGGCTGTAGAGAAGTTGGTTATGTATTTCCCCAGCTAATTAAGCTATAAGTCAAAAAAGGATAAATAAGTGTGTAGTATAACTGAACAAGGACTTGTTGGCTGACAAAGTACCTAATTTTAGAAAGTATTACCGATAGTAATTTATATATATATATATATATATATATATATATATATATATATATATATATATA